TACAGACATATACAACATGGCATGTTTAAATGTACAAAATAGTTGAAATTATATTTTATTACAGAACATTCCAAAATTCACACTAATTTTAGAAAGTCCACAAACACTGATAGCATTTGGAAAACACAAGCAACAAGTTTATCAATAACCATGCAGTATGTTTAGTAACTTATACACAACACATAATTTACATGTCAAATCCACAAACCTAAAGATATATGACTGATCTATTTAACTCATGCTAGAATCTAAATACTATTTTATAATTCGTAGGTTTAAACACATTTTACAGTAATCTATGAAATAGGAATATAAACTATGAAAAATATTTAACTGACTTCTTAAGAGACGAGGAAACGTCAAAAAGAGCAAATCAGGCATTTTTTCCCTGAAATTAAAGTTCTTATGGATACCTTTGTAAACATCAAAGGAAGAAAATAAAAACAACTCAGACATTATAACTTAATTTTACCTTCTCAAACTTCTGTTTAGAGCTCTTGGCATACTCACAGCTCCCCTGGGATATTTTTATTTTCTCCTGATTTAGGAGACAACATATTTATTCCCTCTCTTTTTCCAGGAAAAATGTAAGGTGGCTTAGAAGACAGACTCAGAATATACTAGAAAGTATAATTATAGGTTAAATAAAAAAGAAAATAGAGAAAGCAGAATGTGGGGGAATAGCACATAAAGCCATTTAAGAAAAGGTCAGGAAATATATCCTAAATTATATTATTCTCCCACACTGATTTTCTGGAAATATTGCAAAATATATTAATTTGTAAGAAAACTAATATTAAAGTACTGGTAAACTAGAGCTGCTGATCAAAATTCTTTTTAAATCATTTATTTACCCTGACGAAGCAGATGATCATAAAAATGTATGTGCTTTTCTTTGTGCTTGGATAAAACAAGTTTTCCTAAATACCATAAAAGTGACTCTAGATTTAGACCAATCTAGCTATTGGTAGAGTACAGGTGGAAAAAAAAAAATGTGGGCACCCTTACTGAATTTCTACTGAGAATTCCATCAACTGCTGTCTGTTGACTTGCGACTGGATGGCTTCAACTCAGGTGGTCATGTGTTACACGGCTCTTTTGTGAGCACAAAACAGAGCAGCATCAATTCCAGGGCATCCTGACTATTAGTTCCTCCAGTTCAACTCATCAGGACTCAGCAAGAGAAATGGGAGGAAGGTAATGCAGAGGAGGAGACCTGCTCCGGTTGGCATGTTGAGGCCACAGTCTCTGTTGGGTTGAGAGCTGCAGATTCTGACTGTGCTTACAGTCTGCATGTCACAGACCTCACCCCACTCCTAGGGGCAGGGAAGGAATGGTATGGACAGAAGACTGGGAGCAGCATTAAATAGCTTCAGGGAAACATGAATGGTCTGTTCATCTCTATTCTACAGGCCTAGCTCTCAACAAATAATAGAAAGAAGGGTCTTGTATCTATACGCTGAGAAGAATGGAGGGAGTGACGATGAAGGAAAGGGTTTGTGGGAAATGGAGAGCAAAGAAAGGTAGTAGGATGTTTCCCTTTCAAGTGCGGCACGAGTTTCAAAACTATAGATTAGGGACCGACCAGAACAAAATATCTGAAGACTAAAAGAAACCACTGCCTCCTATCTTTTCTGAAGATGAATGGTCCCAAGTAACCCGCGTGAGTTTTGGTTAGGTTGGGAAGGAAGTTCAAGTCTATAGATCTATAACCGTGGAAACTATAGTGCTCTTGCATGGGGTGGCAAAGGCTTCCCCAAGAACTGTGCTAGTGGGAGAAGGGGACAGAATAAGGACTGCTATTTTTCCAGTGATGCCCTTCAGAATATAGGCAGTGCCAACTTATCCATTACGCACAGTAACCTAAGGCCCACAGTATTTTAGAAGCCCAGAAAAATATTTTAATTTTTTTTTAGCCTCATAAGAAAACACTGAACTTCTAGACTAAACAAAACGTTTTAATCTAAAATATTAATACATTCATTTCATACAAACACAATTGTAAAATATCACTTTAAATTTTGTATGGAAGAAGGGGTCTAAGAAGGCAAAACTACCTAGGGCCCACAACAATCATATTGCAGCTCTGAATACAGGGTCAAACAAATTGTAACTGAAGCCATATAATTTGAACAGGAAACTGAAGATAATTTAAAAGGATTAGAGAAGAATGGTCAAGGCTAAAATAATGGAGATGGAGAGTCTGAGCTTACTGATCCTGTTCCACTGCTTTTTCTTTCCTTGAATGTTACTTTGGAATTAGGTAAGTCTAATATTGGGGAAGTGCTAGCGTCGATTTCCATTAGCCAACCCAGAAAACAACAAAAAAAATTAAGCTCATTATTTTATAGCCATTGCGCAATAATAAAGACAGAATCAGGATGAAGACACCTGCATGTCTTTAAGTCCCTTAGTCCTTTCTTCACTTCTGTAAACATTAGAGGCAGGTGTTCCTTTGAGACCCTGCATCCTGAACTTCCTGTGTCATAGGACCCCTCAGTTCTAGACTTCCTCTGTGCTTCTCCAAGGCCCTGGCTCCATTATCCTCGGTAGTAGCCCAAGGCTGGCAGTGACAGCAATGTGGGTACCTGTGGTTGCAAAATTGTTTTAAGAATATGACAAAAGAAAAAGGAAGCAGGGAAAATGATGAAAGAAGAGATAAAAAAGTAACCAATGTTAACATACTAAAATTATGCTGTTAAAAAGATGGGGAAGGATTTAGACACTAATTGCGTTTTTTAAATAGTAGCACTGAGATATTTGTACTTCACACTTCTCTGTAATTTTAAAATATATTTTACAAGACAAATGAACTCTATAGTCAGAAAATACTAAATATTACTTTGAAAATTGTGCTCTCAAGGCCCCAAACTCTTGACAAGTATCATCCTTGAGATCCTCACAATATGGCTTAGATTAGCAAATACGGTTAAACATTGGCACACAGGACAGGGAAACTCAGATTTGAGAGCAGTACTTTTAACAACTTCCATTACTTTCCATTACCCAAATTCATCAGTATTATAGGGAAATGTCAATCAAGAAAGCTAATATAAAACACTTTCTGTATTTTTTCACCAATATATCATAAGGAAACAGGTCAAAAAGAAGATGACTACAAAGGAATCAAGAACTGCCTTTCACAGAATCATGCAACTTCTGAGCCTGGAAGGGAATACTAAGCCATAAAATTCAGGCCCTTGATTTACTGGTGAGCATGGGGTTCAGGTTATGTGTTTTGATTAAGGTCACACAGCAAAGTTGGTAACAGAGTTAGGGTAAGAGCTCAGGTTTCCTGACTTTTGGTATAGTTACTCTTACACTCTCAGCCCTCAAACGAATTGTTTTATAAGCTATACTTCATTGTTTATCCTAAGTGCACACAGAGAAATGGAAAAATTTCTGTGTGTTTTTTTTTAATGTATGTTAATTTGTAAACTGTATTAACTGAAACTTTTTTTAAATGTATGTTAATTTGGAAACTGTATTAACTGAAAATATAAACTTCACATGAGTAGTCCAACAATTAGAATGAACAAATATAATTTTGGTTCTGGAAGGACATTAAGAAGTTAAGTTAGACTTCAGTTACACAAGAATTAAGGCTCAGGGAAAGTAAACTGTGTTGACATCCCCAAATCACAAAGTTGAGACAAGAACCAGGTCACCTAAACCTGGCTCACTGCTTCTTCCAATACTCCTTATTCTTCATTGGCTATTGATTACAAACAAAGCAAAAATATAGAATGAATCTGGTTTAGATATAAGGAAACATTAGTAAGAATGCTTGGTGAATAGGTATAAATCAATTCTCTGACTACTAAGAAATAAACTGAAATCTATTGAATTTGAATAAATGAGGCAGCATGACTGCTTATTTTATTTCAAAATGGGCTTAAATGCAGATCACAATTCTGAGTTTTGGTGTCATTTAAAGATGATGTAAGGCTTAACAAATGTAAAACAAAATTCTAATGTTTAAAATTTTCTAGATCAGGAGTTGGAGAATAATAGCCAGCAACCTATGTTTTATGAGGCCTGTGAGTTAACAATGGTTTTTATAGTTTTAAAGGGCTGAAAAAAAAAAGACAAAGAAGAATGTCTTGTAGAGATCACATGCAGCCTGAAAAGCCAACATTACTTACAAACTGGCCCTTTACATTAAAAAAGTTCACTGACCTCCATTATAGATTCAGAAAGCATATGAAACTGGGCTGAATATGTAGTATGTCCTGAAAGGCTTGTTCTAAAAATTAAATCTCTGATTTATTCCAGCTTTATTATCATTTGCCTCTTTCTCCTAATAGTAGGTAGTAGAAAAAAACAGTTTGAGAGTTATGATTACCTATGTTCCAGTTAAATGAGGTTTTATCAAACCTACTAATGTAAGTGGACACACAATTGAAGCTAATTATTTTATGTGTGTAAAATTAGTTAAAATTTTTCAGATAGCTGAGAAAATGGCATTTGCTATACAATGAAATGGAAGCAAGTATCCATGATTAAAAACTGGTAATTTCTCCTTTGGGTTTTTCCTGTTTTTAAGATTTTCTTGTCATGCCTCTCTTGGCCTCCTGTTGTTAGATTTATTAATCAGTAGTTCTAAACCACATTAATTATCTCAGTGACCACCCATCCATATCTCATTTATAACCATCAACACATCTCACCAGAACATACGGAAAGAATCGAAGTGCTTCTAAATGAAATATGAGATACCACAGTGGAACATAAGTGACTAGTTCAGGGAAGAAATGACTTAGAGACATAGTCCAAATCCCAAGCTGAACACAACAGTAAAGCCGACCAGGCTCCTAAGTTTCACAGCCTACAGCGTCGCTCAGTAAAGGTCTAGAACACCGTGGTGGACCCTGGTTTGCAGAACACTCTGATCATCACTGTATAAAAGCAAATCTGTATCTCTTCCTTTTCACAGGATTTATGTGGCAAAGTTTGAATTTTGTGAAATAGAGAAAAAATACCAAAGCTGTGCCAATGTTAACCACAATCACTTCAAGGTTATAACTTTGAAAGTAAGATCTACTGTGTCAAGATTAAAATGTCTTAACTTTAAAATAATCACATTAACAATTCCTTTGTACAGTTCTCTTCGGTTACTCCATTCTCTTGGTTGCTTTTATAATTGGAAAGGAACAAATTTTCTATTTCAGTCAAGAATTCTTCAGCCATAAAGCAATTGGTCACTTTGCTCAGAGTCTTCCTCATACACTCCAAAAGCTAGTTGAAAAGAAAAGTTTTATATTTAAATACAGAAAAAGTATGAGGGTTTGCATTACTATCACGATTTTTTCCCTTTCCAGACCTCACATTTCCTAATGCTCAAATGAGAAACACTCTCCTTAAAAATGGCTGAAGATTAACTTGTGTTTAATAGTCATAGAGCTGGAATGTAGGAAATTGCTGCTGAGGAACACTCAGCTTAGTACCTTTATGATTTTACATAAGGAGACAAACCTGAGATTGTTTATGTGACACTTTCTACTTTGGACATATTTGTGACTTTTCTCCATTTGTAGTCACACTTACAAAGCAAAATAATCCTGAGCATACACACACACACAACTCTATGAACATAAAAACATAGGATTCTACCATTTCAAAATGAGGATGCTAGTTAGAGTCTACTTCCTTGGAAATGTGCATATACTTTTTCAACAACACAGAAAAAAAGTGGATATAACAGAGGAGTAAAAAATATTAAAAAGAAATTTAACATTTAAATTTTCTATCCCCAACTGCTATTAAAAAAAAAAAAGACAAATGTTACAAATCTACTAGCCTTCAATCATTACAGAAGCAAAACCTAGAAGTGAACTGATAGAATTCAAAACTCTTATTTCCTACTAGAAAGTTAAATAAAATGACTATTTAAATGTAATTGTTAGAGTTATACCATCATTCTTAAAAATGATCAATTGTTAAGGCTAAAATGGAAACATGGCACTTTCAAATTTAATAAAATGAGAAAAATGTTCTCCATTGTGTACAATAATAATCTGCTAAGAAATTTATCAGCTGACACTGACAAATTTATTCTAAAATAGTATTTTTTTCTATGTGCAAGCTTGGGCAACAAAACACATTACTAATTATCTCCTAGAAATTAATTTTCCAAAGGAAAAAGTAATAAAATATACAGAAAATTATCCACAAAGTATCAGGCATCATGGGAAAACACATTGAGATGAATAGCTTTAGAATCTGTGAACAATGGAACCAATTAAAATGAAGGCAGCTTACTTTCTGCAAACAAGTCAGGTCAGAATCCCGGCGAAAGATTTTATCCATGGGGACGCTGCTGTAGGAAGAAATATGAAAACAAACTGATGAAACGAATACTATAAACTAATCAGTTTCGTAATAAACTATCACAGATGCCATACATCACAATTTTATATTTAACTTGGGTTTTCTCTGAAACATAATTTAATGAGCAACACTGCAGATGTGCAACCATCTCAAACTACAGTACATACCTATGGGAGAGCCTGTATTTTTCTATTATCCATCTTGTCTTTTCAAATACTAATCCCCACTGAGGTTCTTCTAACATCTGCTGTACTTCAAATTTGTAAGGTAAGCCTAGAAAAGCATAAAGAAGCACATTTTCATCAACTATTTCTTAACTCGCCAATCTCCTTTTAATTATAATTAAAATTCCCTTCAGTGTTTTTACAACCACAGCTTCGTAGACCAGCTGAACAGCACTTTAAACATAGTGGGCATTCATTAAATATTTATTGCCTGACTGTACTTGGTCCACTAAGCATATTAATGCCAAGCTATTAATAATAATAAAGAAGAGTAGAAGTGCCATTTACATGACAGTTCTATGCATGGCACTATGATAGGATGATCATGTAATTTATCACCTAAACCAAGAGACTTTTTGAATTAAAGAAGGTACTAGGAATAATTATGCCTGAACCACAGGTTTAAATTGGGATTATCCTAGACAAACTGAGACACATTGCCATCCAAGTGATAATTTAAAAAACACATATATACAGGTTATTAAGCTTACAACAATGCCATATCTTTTTTTTTTTTAAACAGGTGAGAAAACTGAAGCTGAGATACATTAAAAAACATATTTAGCCTAGCAAAGTGGCAGGACATAGATGTTAAAACCCAGCAGGTTCACCTCACTTCTGAGCCCAAACTCATTCCACCTCCCTAGAAGAGCTAATCTAAGACTAGACAAGAGGATAGGATGAACTCTAGGGAGGCAGCAACTGCTCTGAGTCAAAGTTGTTACACTAAACTCTGGAGGAAAGAAAGAAGCCCAAGGGGTGGACATCATATATTCATCTAGAAAGGAAAAAATACGACACAATGAGCTATCTTAGCAATTTTTCACATATCCTTCAAGAGCCCCATGCAAATGTATCTGTAGCATTTTTTTAAAAGCTCAGCTGATTCATTACCAAAGGCTGATACCATCATAGTAACACTTACAATGTGTACTATGTGCCACCTAAAACTTTATGTGAAATCACTTAAATGAAGTAGCTGCCATTATTCCCGCCCAGCCCCCTGCCCTTTTTTTTTTTTTTTTTTTGATGAGGACACTACATCATAGAAAAGTTAGCCTGCTCATAATCAGATATAAAGGCATAGGCAGGATTTGAACCCAGGCAGTAAGACTCGAGAGTTCTGCTTTTAACTTTTACATAATACTGCCTCTCAACTGGGTTTCTACCATGATAAGGCTTTTCAAATAAATAAAATGCCAGCAAATCAGAAGTCATGGAAAAAAAAAAGGGAAAAATACAACTGTTTCCTCATAATGAAATAAAGCATAGCTTAACTGTCAATATGCTCTAAAAAGGTATTTTTTCAGGTGTTTAGAAGAAGGACAGGGGACAGCAAGCCTGATGATGATGACTGATCTTTTTTATTTAATTGCTCAATTTTCCTCTTCTCCAAAAACTTAAAGAGTGACACATTCACTTACTTGACATGCTTTGATTACTTACTAAATACGGATACCAGCTATATAATCATAACTATCCATTGAAAACTTATTATTTCTAAGCACTTTATATATATTACTGACACACCTTACAACCATATACCTACTGTAAGCAAGGTAGTAATTTTTTCTCATTTTACAGATGTGGCAAAGGAGAATGAAAGAGTAAACTGCCCAAGGTAAAATAAGCAATAAATGTCAGAGCTGGGATCTGATTCCAGTAGAGTGACTCCTGCTCTCAGTGAAAGTTGAAAATGAAAATAAAGAAAGGTAAATAATGCATTTTCAATCTATGCTGATGCAAAAACATGAAAACACACACACAAATCATATACAGGTCTATTTGGTATTTTTAGAATATTTTTTAATTTAAAAAAAGGTACTTTTAAAGTCAATAAAAGTTTCCTTTTATAGAGAATATTTTTATCCACTAAAATATCAGAAAACTAATCACTAAATATATTTCCTCCCTGTCACAAGTAAAGAAAACATTAAACCATTAGAGATATTATAAAGATATGACCTGAGTTAAAAGTACTGTAGCACAAGGTATCCCATGGCTTCTAGAAAACCTTAATTCTTGCACCAGAGGATTTCTAAGGGCAAAGCAAAAGACCCAGGATTAAGATCTAATGTGCAGCGTTAAGCATGGACAAGTCATTTGCAAGACAGCTGTGTTCAATGGTAGCTCATGGGAGCATCATGGATAGTTCCCTCTAATGCTTTCAAGTGGTTCTTTCCCATCTGGGCTAGTTTCTTCACATGCATGTGCTGATCTGTATTTTGCCAAACACTCCAGGGATACCCTTCTACAAATCTCCAGAGTTCACTCTCTATTCTGTTTTCTGTTCTCTTGGGGCGCTGTCTCACAAACTCAGCTGTCTTGGTCTCCTTATCTCCATCACCTTAACTGAGTCTGCCTGACTCTGGGTGGGTTTCTCCTTCTTGTGCCATATCTGAAAACCCTCTTAAACAGTAAGCTAGGGTAATTTCGGGCTCTTTTCATTTGTTTCCCATATCTTAGCAACTGTATTCCTTTGCTGCTCAACGTTGTGTTTAAATACCATTATTTTACATACTTTGTCCAGTGTTTTGGTAGTTTCAGACAAGTTCTTGTTACTTCATTTAGCCAGAGTAGAATTCCATGAATTTTAAGTTTCATGTAATTCTAATTAACATACATTTAAAGTCACATGTACTGCTATTGTATTGGACACCATCAGAATTGAGGTTCATTACCAAAACCTAGCAGTCTGTGAGATTATAAAATGATTAGAGAGAACAATTGCGATTCTTTTTATAAAACTGTACTGAGCTTAAGAGTATTATGTATTACGTGCTATGCTCAAAATGGACATTCCAGACTAAAGTTAATGCCAATATTATTAACTCAATAAAAACCCACATAGTGTTGACCACCTCCTAGTTGCAAAGCAATTTATTAGGTGCTACTGGAGAAAAAGACAAATAAGACATAGTCCCTGCTCTTCGGGCATACAATTTGTTTAGGACTTGCTAAATAGATAAATTGCATTAAAAGACAAAGTGACCATGAAGGGAGGAATAAAGTGTTGCAGATACATAAAAAATAGAGCAACTAATACTAAATAACATGGGGGCAGTGCTGGTAAGTCTTTATAAAATATAAGGCATCCAAGTGAGATCATTAAGAATGAAAAGAAATTAATTATTAAACAAACATCCATTTAGTATCTACTTTATGCCAGGCCTTGTGCTAGAAACTGGATAGAAAAATGGGTACAATACAGTATTTATTCTCAAAGATCTCATGATCTAATGGGAAAGAGTACAATGTGGGGTAACTGTAGTGGCAGCGTCCAGGGGACCTGACCTAGAGCAGTGGTAGTAATGACAGAATAAATATCCTAGAGTTATTTAGCCTATTGTTTCCTCTGATTATTTGCTTTCTAGCCACACTCCCTTCCTTTTCCTAGTCTGCTATACTAATTCCCTATCCACCCAGAAATGACTGGACTACAAGTGGACATAAACCTCGGAGGAATCAAGTCAAATGATGGTCTATTCCAATCAAATTCTTTCCTGAGATACAATGGGAGCAAAGAAATATACAAATTGAGTTAGTCATTGTTAACCCCTAAACTGGGAGGTGATAGAGAGTTGGTGGTCATTTTTTTTTCATTTGCATACCATCACAGAGAAAGCCAGTCTGCATTTATAAAAAAATTTTCATGAGAACAGAGACTGTTTTGTTTACTGCAGCATCTCCAGTGCCTAGCATACACACTGCCTGGCCATAACTTTTCCCCATATTTCAATCCTTTTGCCCAGTGGCCATGGTAACAAAAGTGGGGACTTGAATACAGCAGGAGATTAAGAAAGGGAAGAAGGTGGCTGCACTAGGGTGGCACCCAAATAATGATTCCCTAGTTGAGGGCACAAACTCTTGCATTAAATACTTTTGCACAGTTGCAAATCTTTTGATTTGTATGAGTCAAATAAATGAGAGCAGAAATAGGATAAAGTTATTTTTGTTGAAAACTTACGGTAAGAGCCATCTGCGCTAATTTCCTCACTTATAACCAGGCAGGTAATCTGAGAATATGGTAAGGGATTATTTCGATTATAGGGACTAACAATCATTCCAATGAACTTTGCACCTCCTCTGGAGAAGTAGCTCTACAATTACAAGAAAAATATAATTAGTTTCAACTGCATAAACTCAAAAGCCAATATTTATCCATACTAACATTTTAAACATCTAATGGGGAAAAGCAGGAACAAAAAGGTGCATTAAAAAGTTCACATCCGGCCCAGAGCGGTGGCTCACGCCTGTAATCCCAGAACTTTGGGAGACTGAGGCAGGTGGATTGCCTGAGGTCAGGTCAGCCTGATCAGGCTTGAGACCAGCCTGGCCAACATGGTGAAACCTCATCTCTCCTAAAAATACAAAAATTAGCTGGGTGTGGTGGCACATTCCTGTAACCCCAGGTACTCAGAAGGCTGAGGCAGGAGAATCCCTTAAACCTGGGAGAGGGAGGTTGCAGTGAGTCGAGATCGCACCACCTGCACTCCAGTCTGGGTGACAGAGTAAGAAGACTCTGTCTCTAAAAAAAAACAACAAAAAAAGTTCACATCCAAACTGCAACTAAATCAAATGCCTTAAATATTCATTTCACATTGTACATTTTTCAGGCAAAAATGTGTTCAACCAAATCCAAAATGACCCTTAAAAATAAAAAAATGGCCTACACAATCTGTATTTGCCATGAATATATTCACTAATTATATTCACCACCCTGCATCTGTAATTCTTATCAATACAGTAATAATTTACAAATACCCTACAGCAAACCCAGTCACATATCAAATGTAAAATCCCAGATTAAAATAAAACTTTTTCTCCAGCTATTAAAAAATACATTATGTCTCTTATTATTTCAGTTATATTTAGTACCCGTCCTAGTTGTTCCCATCAATTTTTAAAGGCTCTGGGAGTATTTATCACTGTAACATTCATGGCTTGTCTGTACTTAATAAAACAACTGACTTTCTAAATGTTTACATAAACAATTATCAATCTCTCAATCAGAAAAAAAAAATGTATGTTCTTTTAAAACCCCCAGTATACATAATTTTTTCTTTTTTTGGTTGGGTGTGGTGGCTTATGCCTATAATCTCGGCACTTTGGGAGGCCGAGGCGGGCAGATCACCCGAGGTCAGGAGTTTGAGACCAGCGTGGCTAACATGGTGAAACCCCATTTGTACTAAAAATACAAAAAATTAGCTGGGTGTGGTGGCACATGCCTGTAATCCCAGCTACTTGGGAGGCTGAGACACAAGAATCGCTTGAACCTGGGAGGCAGAGGTTGCAGTGAGCCGAGATTGCACCATTGCACTTCAGCTTGGGCAACAAGAGTGAAACTCTGTCTCAAAAAAAAAAAAAAAAAAAAAAAAAAAAAAAAAAAAAAAAAAACCCCCATTATAAAGAAAATTAGAAATGAAATACAAAAAATGTTTAAAGTTTATCTATTTAAAAGGCAGCACTGAGGGGGTGTGCAACCATTTACAGAATATAAATATACAGGTAATACCTGGTATTTAGCTTGTGTGTCAATATCTCGTAAGGAAGGATTAGGATCAAAAGCAGGATGAGAATGATACCATCCAATAACACTGTAGCCTCTAACAGCCAAGGTTTCTGAGGCCTGTGTTTGTGATACAGGATCCATCTCACACTGTAGTCCTGTACTCAGACTGTTACATGGTTCTGCTGCACAGACCTATAAACGATTGATCCTCAAATGATTATACTAAAATCCTGTTAATTCTATTACTCTAATGTTATAATTCTTTCAGAGATACAGAAACTTTTCAAGGCCAAGACTTTTATTTGACAATATCATAGGCGCCTTTAACTTGCAAATGACTTATACTCCAAAAGTCTGATTATATGCTAGGAACTTAGCATGCATTTTTCTACTCAAACAAGGTCATAATAATGGTTAGTTTTCCAGGTCAGCCCACATAATACCCGTACAAAGGTATTCTTTCAATGACTCCTGTTACTTATGACAACAATTTCAACAGAATGATGCATACAAACTTTCAACTACAAGTGTTAGTACATATTTCTGGCCTCTTAAAAGTTGTAGTTTTTTGCTAATAAAGGTAATGAGGACCCAAGGCCTGGCAATGTTCTCTCTTGGTGGTAAAAAGAAAAAGGTGCTCGGCATATGGAATGTTAAGTTACTTCTGGGAATAGATAACTTGCTACATTTGCATATTCTCATATATATCATAGGTAAAGTATGTATTTTAATTATATTCACTGAATTCTATAAAAATATTTGGTATGGTAGTAGGACTAAATAACTAAAACATTTTTTAAAAGAGAGAACTTACTTCAACTACTTTATCAACTTCTGAGTATCTTCCTCCTAACAGACCAATCACTTCTGCCATAGAAACATGAGCATGCTAAAAGAAATACAAGACAGACTTAGCCCAAACGCACAAACCCACCTGACAAAAAAAATAACAAAACTCACTTATTGTAAGAAAGTCATTTGTAAGTACAGTCATCATGCTTTTATAAAATAAAGTAGCATAGGAGAGGAACTAGATGCTAGGATCAGTGCACAGAAACTATTTCAGGTCTATCTTCACTGCTGGCTGAGAAGCTTTCAACCAAACACTTAAAAATTCTCAGACTCTACTTTTGCAATTGCAAAATGAAGATACACTCTTCCTATTCAAGGAAGGTACTATGTAAGGATACAAAGTAAAAATCACTCTAAATCCTTCTACACAAAGACATCACAAACACAAAAACTGTTGGAGGTACTGGTAGTTTAGTATAAACAAAAAAACCCTCCAAATTACAGGAGTTGTGCTTTGTTTCAGTGATCTAAAAGGTGGCAGACACAGATATTAGAAAATTAAAGTAGGGTTAATGATGGTAAACAGTCTGCAAAAACTCACATTAATTTATTTTCTCTAAAATATGGAAACATGCAATTGTTTGGCTTTTCTCCAAAAGAAAAGACTTATTTTTAGATTCCTTGTAAAAGAGGATAGTTAAGATCCAAAATACACGTCTTCCATACTCTGTCTTACGCCTGCAATAAAAATACACAAGAGTAGAAATCAGAATAACTAAGTAAACACAATAGATTATCCTTACCAAATCCATTATTAAAAGTGCTTCTGAAGCCACTTTCACCTGAAATGGCTCCTGAAATATAAAAAACAAAACAAAACGGGGGACCATAAAAACAGAGATTTTGTTCTCCCCACCTGGAATGCCCACCCTGTTCTCCTTCATCCACCCCACCAAGTTCTCAGCACTAACCAAAGCTCAGCACAAACTAGATTTTTAAAAAACATTATGATTTAAAACCCCAGCAGGGAGAAATTGTCTCTCATTTTCGGTCATGCCTTGCACATATGGAAAAAGAGTAAGTATTTCCTGTTTGACAGGGGGAAGCGGGGATTGTCTAGGGTCATTCATTAATGCATAAATAGTACCTGCTTTTCTTCACTAAAAAAATTACAAGGTATCAGTTGGAAGGGATCAAATGAGCTGAAAAAGAAAAAAAATTATTTTCAATATCAACAAGATTAGGAAAATAACATTTGCAAATTTGAAAGTGTATATCAATAATCTGAACCCAAATTCTGTCTAAATGAGAAAAATATTAAACTAGGAGAGTTTTGTAGGAGATTCCATAAACCCTTTTGAAAGAAGCACTGTTCTTTTAGATTTAACAAGAACAAAAAAAACCCAAGAAATTTGAGATAAAGTTACTCCATTGTCTTAATTTCCTATTACACTCAAAGAGGACACTATAAACTATCAGACATATGTCCCACACTAAAAGGAGATTTCAAAAAGTTCAATGAAAATATAATTATCTGTTATGAGACCCCAAAAAAAGTTCAAGAAAGATGGAAGTTTATCAAAAATACTTGTCAGTTCAATAATGTGCCAACAATAGAGTAGGAACTTAAAACTTTTTTTGAATGAATAAATGACAAATGGTTCTGGTAAAGATATTAATGTATTAGTCCTATGATAAACTCTTATATTAAAGTGAAAAAGTGGCCAGGTGCTGTGGCTCACATCTGTAATCCCAATATTTCGGGAGGCTGAGGTGGGTGGACTCCTTGAGCCTAGGAGTTCACAACCAGCCTGGACAACATGGTGAAACCCCATCTCTACAAAAAAATTTAAAAATTAGCTGAGCGTGGTGGCGTGTGCCTGTAGTCCCAGCCACTCGGGAGGCTGAGGTGAGAGGATCACTTAAGCCCAGGAGGTGGAGGCTGCAGTGAGCCATGATTTCACCATTCTACTCTACTCCACTCTAGCCTTGGTGACAGGGTGAGACCCTGTCTCCAAAAAACAAGAAGTGAAAAAGTAAAAAGAGGTGAAAAAGGGAGAACCTAAGCGAAGTCAAAAGCACACATAAATCTGAGAAATATCAGAAAGTCTTTGACGAGTAAAGAATTGAGGCTTGAAAACTATATTAAGAACAATGAAAAGGTTTTTTAGGCTATCTTCAGGGAAAGAAAAACACACAGGAATACATTCGCATTAACACAACTGGAAGAGAGCAGGGCAATTCCGTTCTCATTCAACCACAGATGGTTAGCTTCAAGAGAACATTTTGTTTTGCTTAATAATGTATCCCAAGTGATCAGAACCGTGCCTGACATATACCGTAGACATTCAAAGATACTTGTTGGATAAAGACAGACCTTTAAATTAGAAAGTGTTTAATCAACAAAAAAGAAACTGAAGGCCAAGATAGATGAGAAAATAGCACAGAAAGAACATCCTGGAGTACTTAAGAACCACGGATATGGAACCGCTGTCAATGTTTGTTGAGGAACTGCAGAGAATGGGAAAGTTATTGAAGGACTAGAAATGGACAATTATTGAGCTTGTTTCACAATACAAAAAAGCAGACTGCAGAAAAGGACGAATTAGATGTTGAATAGTAGTAAAATTCTAGAAAAAATTATGAAACAGCTGATTTGTGATCCTTAACCAAGTGAAGAGGTGACTAAGCAAAATAATGAGTTCATGAAAAGTCATGATCAGTAGACCTTATTATAGACACTATTCATAGGAATGATCTGTTAGAAACTAAAGACTTAAAATATATTTTATCTGAAATTAAACAAGACATCTGTTATGATTATCCTTCTGCATAAGATAAAGATATATGGGTTAATTGTGGTAATCTATATAGCTGATTGAAGAATGAATGTCTTCATTGTTTAAATATATGCAATGAGGTTTACATTTCCAATTAAACATTTCAATCAGTGATTAATGGCAGGAAAGGCAAGCTTATGAAATGTTAATGATGCAGTGCTACAAAGGCTAAAACGAGAAAAGTGGATCTGGACTCAAAAAGATCCTGAAGACCTTGGACAGCGACTTGAAAATCACAATAAATGTAAGTCTCACATATAGAGGCAGAAAATCAATTATGTGGATACTGGATGAGGAGTCCCAGCTTATGGATGACTATTTTTCACATAGCTTATCTAATTTAGTATCACGACAACTGTGTAAGTTTAAATTTTTATTTTAGAGAGGTAATATATAATGTAATGACTAGGGGTATGAATTCTTAAGCTTAACACTTGGGTTTAAAATCAACAGCTACACTACTTAACAGTGTGAGCAAGTTATTAAACCTCTCTACGCCTCTCAGTTTCCTCACCTATAAAATGGGAGTGAGAATGTTAACTAATGCACAGGGTTGTCATGAAGATTATATGAGCTAATAAAGTGCTTAAAACACAGCTAACAGTGTTATTTTAATTATTGTTTTATAAATGAGAACCTAAGGTTTACCCAAGGACATTTATCAGGCAAAAATATAATCTAGTGGCATTCCTGGGTATCTTTTTTAAAAGGTACACTGACAAAACTACAGTCTATTCAATGGCACATCTGCAGGAAGAGGGAATAGAAAATTGGGGCATTTAACTTATTTGGTGACCCTTAATTTTAAAAGGTTCAAATTTTAGATTATACATGCATTAGAAAACAACCACCATGCCAACAACTTGCTAACAATTAGTACCACCCAAAGAAAACTCGGTCATTTCATGAAGTTTCCTGTCCATAGTGTCTAGAGTTGAATGACCAACCTGTTCTAAACAAGGCCCCTTTACAACATATGCTGGATCATACGTTCAATGAATCTGAACAAATTTAAAATGTTTGTTCAAGGTCTCCCAAATTCATAATCAGTGAAACAAAAAAATCTAAAAAATTGTAGCAGTATTTTTTTAACTTAACGTGAACAATATAATGCAGCTATTGAATATTTTTTCATACATTATCTAGCCATTTGTGACAAATTTTTAAAAACCACATTTATATAACACTATACCTTTTTGTTGGTCTTGGCACTTTTAAAGATTTAACAGGTCTGCTTTTTTCCTCTTCTCTTCTTTTTGCCAACTCCTCAGCAGAGAGATGCTAAAACAAAATGCCAACTGATTAAGGAGTCCATCAACTACTAAGAGGCAGAATAAAAACAGTCCTTTAAAACCAAATTTAAGGGCATGTGAGGACAAGAGAGACTAAACTGATATAGATGGGTTTCCTTTTTGCTACCAACATGTAGAAAGGCTGGACTGTATTTTTTAAAAATCGTTTCAGAAGATATGGCCATCCCAAACTGAAAATTTACTCCTCTTGATTTTCCCATTTCAATCAATGGTACCAGTCACCCAGGTTCAAAAACCTCAGAATCACCTGAGTCTTTCATTTCCCATTTATACTTACCATATTCTACTGTGTTGAGTTTTCTTTCACAACTGAGAGACAGTGCAGAGTAATGATTAAGAACAGATTCTGGATCTAGAATGTCTGGCCCAGTTATTTACTAGCTTGGTGACCCTAGGCAAATTCTAAAGCTTTCATGCTTCAGCTACCTCATCTTTAAAAATGGGAACAACAAAAGTAATAATAAAAAGTAAACAATAATACCACTATCATGGTATTATTTTGAAGATTGAGTTAATGTTTATAAAATACTGACAGTGTCTGACACACAGGAAGCCCTTTATGAGTGTTTATAAAATAAAGTAAATCTCTATTTATTACATTTCTATGATCAACCTTACACCCTAGTCCAAATGAACTATGCACCTTTTCCAGAGTATATCTGGTATTTTCCCATGTCTCCAGCTTTGTTCCCTCAGCCTAAAGTGTTTTTATCTCCATTTTGAGATTCTTCTGCAGATCCTTCAGATCAGATTATACCCCACACACTCTATGAAACCTGCCCTGATCACACCCTTTGGGAGAAACTTACAATTCTTGGGACCAACCTTATTGAACTTACCATAGGTTTTGTCTTTCCTATTAGAAATACAAGCCCCTTATGGGAAGGATAATTAGTAATTACTGTGCCTAGAATAGTACTCAGGTGAGAAATTGGGGACAGGAAATGCGGAGGAGGAAAGACAGACAACTCAAGTTTGTGGAGCACCTTGTGCACACAAGGCTTACTGAATACCTAGTACTAGGACCTTTATATAGTCTACCTCATTTTTTTCTGACAACAATCCTTTGAGGGAGGTATTACTCACAATTCGTAAGTTAAAAAAGCATGAGATTCTGTGAGGTTAAGTAGTTGCTCAAAGTAACAAAGCCAGTATGTACACATTCACACATTCTATTCACTCTACTGCACTAGCTGTTATAATGTTTAGAATAATATTTTAATTGGTACATCAGAACCTCTTCCAATAAATGTTTAATGAAACGAATTGGGCATACCAACTTCCTGACACTCTTATCTTGAGTTAGAGACAAGAATACAGAGACAGAGAACCAAAGTTCTGAAATGAGTTAAACTCCTAGTTAACTGTACCACCAATGCCTTCTACTTTGGTGTTTACTGGTGACTTTTAGACAAATTAACATGGGAATGAAGGCATACATGTTAATGTATGAAACAAGTACAACACATATGACATTAAGATGTACAAATATATATTTAAAAACCAGTTTTCATCGATGAGCCATTTGAAAGGTCAAAGTTACCTCAAACGTTTGTCCTTCTAAGTCCTTTGCATCACACCAGTTTCCCCATGGGTCTCGGACCCTACGTCTCCTTGTACGCTGCGATGAGATTAAAGTAAAGCAAAAGGTAGCAAGATTAATATGGAGAAATCACAGCACATTAACACACAAAATGAAAACAATAATTATCTAAAAGTCAATTAATCTATCAATTTAAATAGTGTAATCTCTGGCTATGCCTGACTAAATTTTATTAATTTATGTTCAATAGTTAGCACTCTGGTTACAAATATCATAAATCAGTGATGGCGAGGTAAGGGCAGGAGCACCAGTACCAGGTGGGTAGGGTGTGGGCCGGGTGTTGGCAGCAGAGGGCTATTTAAAAAATAAAATCAGTAATGATTTTCTATATTTTGCTAGCATTTCTTCTTAGCTTTTATATTTCCTTTCATCATGTAGGAGCTAAAACACTATGACAAATTTTCTTTTTTTTGAGACGGAGTCTCACTCTGTCACCCAGGCTGGAGTGCAGCAGTGTGATCTCGGCTCACCGCAGCCTCCACCTCCCAGGTTTGAGTGATTCTCCTGCCTCAGACTCCCGAGTAGGAACAAAAATATTTTTAAGATCAAAAAGAACCACCAAGAAAATGGCTTCCTTTTCAACCACTTCTGGTAGAAAATCTGCAAGAACACGCAGCAAGAGGTGTAATGTTGAAAACTAGAAGCAAAATAATTCTATCTCCAGCTTTAGAAAGGAGATGGCCTAATTGATCAAATAATGAAAAATTACAAGGTTGGGCCGGGCGTGGTGGCTCACACCCGTAATCCTAGAACTTTGAGAGGCTGAGGCGGTTGGATCATGAGGTCAGGAGATTGAGACCATCCTGGCTAACATGGTGAAACCCCGTCTCTACTAAAAATAGAAAAAATTAGCTGGGGCGTGGTGGCGGGCGCCTGTAGTCCCAGCTACTCGGGAGGCTGAGGCAGGATAATGGCATGAACCCAGGAGGCAGAGCTTGCAGTGGGCCAAGATCACGCCACTGCACTCCAGCCTGGGCGACAGAGCAAGACTCTGCCTCAGAAAAAAAAAGAAAAATTACAAAGTTGGTTGACTACATTACTAAAATCCAGTTTTGCAAATCTCAATAGTGACGCCTGTAAAATGGACCAGTTCCCAAAGGACAGTGTATGACTAGCACCATATCCAGCAACTCTAATTGATAACATCCTTTAAGATAGTAAATTTAGATAGAAATGTTTTATAGCCTAAATGCGAAAAAACAGCTATTTTAGCACCTATACTTTCCTTTTCATATCTTACCTATTACTAATTTAATCCATTAGTAAAACTAACAAGATCATATTATGACTCTGCCTTATAGAGTGTTGGATCCGCAGGGCGTGGTGGCTCACACCTCTAATCCCAGCACTTGCGGAGGCCGAGGCGGGCGGATCATTAAGTCCTGGCTAACACAGTGAAACCCTGTCTCTGCTAAAAATACAAAGAAAATCAGCTCAGCATGGTGGCGGGCACCTGTAGTCCCAGCTACTCGGGAGGCTGAGGCATGAGAATGGCGTGAACCCAGGAGGTGGAGCTTGCAGTGAGCTGAGATCGCACCACTGCACTCCAGCCTGGGCGACAGAGCGAGACTCCGTCTCAAAAAAAAAAAAGAGTGTTGGATCACATTTTTATTTGTTTTTTCTCACAAGATGTTTCTTTTTCTCCTAGCAGGTCACTTTATTTTTAAAGTATGATTTACAAATTTTAAAATATGATAAAACTGACTCCAAGAATTAAAAAAAAAAAAGGCTAGTTATTCCAAAAAGGTGATTCTTAAGGTTAAGAATTTTAAAAGAAGAAAAATAAATGAGAGAAAAAAAAAAACTGAACTATATACTTTTAAAAGACACATTAGATTTATAAATTAAAACAAAGCATCCCAAGACCACTTTAGGAAAACATGCTTCTGCATCAAGTTTGCTAGCACGTTTTAAGGGTTTTTAGGTTTGTTTTTGCCTTAGAAAGCAACATGAAATTGAATGAAACAAAGAAAAGCAAATTGCTAAGGTGAAATACAAGAGGAAACATGTTTTTCTACTAAATGGCCATTTATTAAACAGCTCAAGAGAAGTAGGTAAACCGCACTAAATAGTTAGTAAGCAGCAATGTGGAGAGATCACTGAGAGAGATAACTGCTTACCATAGACTGCAGACGCTGGGCAAGTTGGTATGCTTCTACTGCATCTTTTCTGTCTCTGATTCGTACTTTGTCAACTGTTTGTGGCCTATTATACACAGCCTGTTCTATTGGAATTCAGGAAAGACAAAACCATCTATTATTTTGTGAAACTCATTTGTTAAATAGAAAGACACATGTACACTGACTATAGTGGAGCTTCTATGACTCTTATTTCACAATCATATATTTGATGTGCTACTGAGCAGCCCTCAAATTAAAAGTAATGCTTTTATAAGAAAATCTCAATAACATGGAATATTTGGAAAATGCGTAATTTAATTTTTACTAACTTTGGCAGTCCAATACAGAAAACATGATATAATTTTTCTTTTGGTGGCTGAGGAAGCAAAAATCCTTTAGTTTTCCTGAAAAGCTAGTCTCAATATTCAAGGCTTTGGGAAAACAAAGACACTAAAATGAAAGACAGATTCCAGGCCAAATTAAATTCTGTCTAGCTCAATATAAAAGAAAATCATATCTGACAAAAAATTTTCTGATTAGTGGTCTCACTTCCATAGACAAACACAGAATATATTCTTCTTAAACCATGGGTTACAAGGTTTTATGTACCTTATAACTTTGTAGCTATGAATGGTTGTGTCATGTTAATTCAAGAAAAGAGTAGAGGTCAGGCACGGTGGTTCACACCTGTGATCCCAGCACTTTGGGAGGCTGTGGCAGGTGAATCACAAGGTCAGGAGTTCGAGACCAGTCTGGCCAATATGGTGAAACCCCATCTCTACTAATAATACAAAAATTAGCCCGGCGTGGTGGCACATGCCTGTAGTCCCAGCTACCCTGGAGACTGAAGCAAAAGAATCACTTGAACCCGGGAGGTGGAGGTTGCAGTGAGCAGAGATTGCACCACTGCACTCCAGCCTGGGCAACAGAGCAAAAAAAAAAAGAGTAAAATATATCTTAAAATATGTATATTCATTAACTTTCAATTTGAAAAAACTAAGGTACGAGAAATTGTCTTCCATGAAAAATATTTTGACGCTTTTATTACATTTAAGTGTAGAGGCTCACAAATTATTTCCTTTATTTAAGCATTGCTAGGCAGCATTTCTAGCATGAATACAGTATTTCCAAATTAAATAGGCTATTTTTAGACTTTTCATAAAATAATTTTACTTTTATCTGCTAAAGAACTGTATTCTTAAATTATTTCTATTACTTAGATTGAATATTTTAGCTTTAAAATTATACTCTCAATTTTCGTTGTAGGTCAAATGAAAGCACAGTTTAACCAACAGTAAAATCTTAGTAAAACATTTATTTCATAATGTTAAAGCATCTCTGAATTCTATATACCTAGAACTACTTGAATTCTAACCATCATAGAAATGAATAGGTGCTATAAGGATAAAAAATATCAAGTAAAAGATGTTGGGTTTTTATTTTTACCACATCCAAAATTGATTGCTCCTATCAATTCGAGGTATGTATGAATCCGTCCAATACAATTAACATCCCCACAGTTCTTCAGGCCAGGACGTACTGAGGTCTTATTTAAGTATTTCGGTTTGCATATCTCCCTAATTAAGAGATGGAAGTACAATTATTTTGGATAAATAAAAACATGAAAAAAGATTTCGGGGGAAAATTTTAAATATTGAAATATCTTTACATTTTAACCCCTTTCAATGTATAAATGTGTAACAAATACAATACTAATATATAATACCCATGTACTTTTTTTCTGAAATAAAATATCCTTAAATAATACAATAACTTATTAGTGTAATTTTTTACAAGCAATATTTCTTCCCCAATGGTAAATTCATAGATTCCAGTTATCCCAGGACCTTGAAGTCAGAAATTTATTTATGTACAGATACAAACTGAATCTTTAATTACAAAGAGCATTTTGATAATATATAGAAAAGATTTAGTATTAGAAGTTTCCAATTTGTAATACATTACTTAGGTTCATCTACTCTTATTTTACTTAACAGTGTCTTTCAATTATCAGCTATCTTATAAATGTTTAAACGTTTTATATTTGTTTTTAATTATGATGACAACAAATATTAAGTGCTTACTCTCAGTGGAAAACAGAAACAGACACTATAAGGGATTCCAAAGGGGAATCAAGAAACTCCCAAAGATTATGAAAGAAACAAGAGGTTTATATAATAAAACATGTATTTATTGAATATACTTAATGTGCCTTGCTAGATGGTACAACATAAAATTAGAATAATAAAAAACTTAGTAGAAACAAATTACTGAGTGCTTATGCCAGATTACTGTGCTGAGTTACATATCCTTAATCTTTATGACTATACAAGGTAGATTCTCATTTTGGAAATAAGGAAACAAGAGGGTCAGAGTAAGGCACTTACTTAAGGAAGGGAAAGAATCAGGATTCAAGTATAGATACTATAAATTTAGGTATTCAGATATCTCATATAACATGGGTATTTCTCACGTGATCATTATTTTATTCCATAAATATATTGTTCTAAGCACTAGAGATACACAGATAAACAATGTAAAATTTCTAACCTTACAGATCTTACATTCTAAAGGGAGGGGCTGTCAACAATCAATGAACAATATATATTACACTTTCAGGTAGCAACAGGGCTAAGTAAGAAGGTCAAGGGGACAGACTGGGACAAACAGGCATAGACTCCTTTAGATAGGGTGTTTAGGGTAGGCCTCACTAAGCAGAATAGAGGGTAAAAATAATTTGTGATGTGGGAGTGTATCACAACTTCATAGAAACGTTGAGATTTCAGGGTGTCTTGCAAGAAAAGGAAACAAAATTGTACAAATGAAGGCAATAAAGCAGGCAAGAGTATGGCTACCAAGAAACCAAAGGAGTCTGAAAAAAACTAGACTGAGCTAACTGAAGACTACTCAAAGTAAAAGGCTTTAAACAGAACTCAGTAATCTAGCAGTGCTGAACAAATGGTAAGGACTCTAAAAATATCTGTTCATAGAATAATGATGGTTCATATGTTCAATCTTTTCCCCCTAACAGAGTACCTTCTATATTCTGAGCATTGTTTAAGAACTAGATTCAACAACAAACAAAACAGATAAATATCTGCCCTCATGTTGCCTGCATTATCATGGGGGTTGAGGGGAGAAGAGACAGTACACAAATAAAAATGTAGTATTTTTGGTAGTAGTAAGTTCTATGAAGAAAATAAAATACAGAGCAAGAGAATGAAACGGAGGAGATATGTGAGATATTTTAGATAAGCCTCTAATTTCCCTTGCCCGCACTTCAACGAGACAAGAAAGCAACACTTGCCAAAACATGGGGGAAGAACATCCAAGGCAGAGTGAAAAGTCAGGGTCAAGGCCATGAGATGGAAGTGTGAAAATAATGAGTCAAGACTGCAGACTCCAATATCCCCTTTACCTAGTGTGACCTGGAACAAGTTTTTTATCCTCTGTGAACCTCATTTTTCTTATCTATAAAGTGAGAACGAGGTTGTCAAAAAGATTGGAGATGATTTAAATATAGTACATGGTATTCGGGAGGCATTCAGTAATGGTACTGGTTACTATTTTAATAAAAATATTCCCCTAACCAGGGAATCAACTGCATCTGCTTTTATGAAAAGGATCTTTATCTATAAACAAATCTGGCAGGCTTCTTATTTTAAAACTTTAACTCTTCTATTTTTTTTTAAACACCACCTCCAGTGCCTAACCACTCACTCTCTTCTATTTCTGAACAAATGTGAGTTCCTGTTCAAAACAATTTTGCTTTCACAATGTTCTGCTAAATAACCATAATGAAACAGCAATACCTAACCAGTTTCATGAACCAAGGCAAATGACTAAGGAAACTACTGCCATATAATTTATAGTACCTATATAAATTAATCTGCCTCATTTGGAATTCAAAATTCAAAGTAACAAATACTGAATTTGATTAAAGTAACAAGAATACAGTGATCATTCATATGGACATTTTTAAGAGACAGGATCTTGCTCTGTTGCCCAGGCTAGTATACAGTGGCATGATCCCAGCTCAATGCAGCCTCTAACTCCTGGGCTCAAGTGATTCTTCTGCTTCAGCCTCCTGAGTAGCTAGGACTACAGGCACACAACACCGCGCCTGAGTTTTTAAAAATTTTTTATAGAGACAGGGTCTTGCTATGTTGCCCAAACTAGTCTTGAACTCCTGGCCTCAAGTAATCCTCCTGTCTCAGCCTCCAAAAGTACATGGATGAAAGTTGTGAGTCACTGCTTCTGGCCAATATGGACATTTTTGAGTTAGTTATTATTTCAAGGTCCTTAAATTTTGGCCATTTGCCCTCTTATTTCCAAAAACAAAAGTAGATACCAATAGAAATCTAATTTAACTAGTCTTTATCAATAGTGTGAATTAGGCCACGTAGAATAAAAGAGTGATTTACAGACACATGAAGGACTTTAGTCCTCATGTGTCAATAACTGGTTGTATAATCAAAGGCAGGTCCCTAAACCTCTCCTGATCTCAGAATCATTCTCTAGCAAATAAACATAATACCATCTGCATATTTTACAGGATTGTTTCAAAAAAACAAGTAAGATGATGTAGGAAAGCTCTTTAAAAACTGTAAAGCACTATGTAAAGTCAGGAGTTGTTCCTTACAAGTATTCTTTATACGATGATACCACACTGACCCACATGTTGTACTTTCAGCACCTCCGCCATCTGTAACATAACTAAGAGTCAAGAAAAAGAACAAACCTCCTCCTTTTAGAATACAGCCCTCTTTAAAAACCAAAGACTTATATTGTGTGGGTAAAATGAAGGTTACTGATTTATTGTAGCAAGTTGTTTTCCTTTGGTAACCCTTCTAGGTTATAGCAGAAAGTTACCTCAGTAGGACAGGAAGGCTTTTGATACAAAGAGAACAAGGGACAAAGCAGAACCCCTGCTCAAGGAACTAGGAAGCTCTCTGCAAAGATGGCCCTATACAATCTGATAGCTTCTGAAACAGTATTAGCAATTATGATTTTTTTTTTTTTTTGAGATGAAGTCTCGCTCTGTTGCCCAGGCTGGAGTGCAGTGGCACGATCTTGGCTCACTGTAATCTCTGCCTCCCAGGTTCAAGAGATTCTCCTGCCTCAGCATCCTGAGTAACTGGGATTACAGGCATCTGCCACGATGCCCGGCTATATGTGTGTGTGTATGTATGTGTGTGTGTGTGTGTGTGTGTGTGTGTGTGTGTATATATATATATATTTTTTTTTTTAGAAGAGACAGGGTTTCACCATGTTGGCCAGGCTGGTCTCAAACTCCTGACCTCAAGTGACCTGCCTGCCTCAGCCTCCCAAAGTGTTGGGATTACAGGAATGAGCCACTGTGCCCAGCCAGCAATTATACATGTTTAATGATGGTTTAATTAAGCTATTTTAAAAAATTCAAATTAGGCTAATAAGGTGGGAAATTTTGGGGTTTGTTCCCTATCCCTCATTAAATAATTCAAATAAATAGTACTGACAATTTAGAGAATAAGCTTCAACTATCAGAAAATTGTATCCTGATAAAGCTGGATGAAGAAATTAATAGCACATTATTGCCACAAGTTCAAAGTTAAAAGCACTTTAAGATCACTATTTAGGAGAAATGTTTCTGCAATCTGGCCACATTTAATACTATTGCTGTCATCAAATTTTTCTTTCTTTGTACTCAAAGCACATGATAAACCTGAAGGAATTATTTCCCTTTTCCCATGCAGTGGTGTTCTCTCTATATCTTCCTAACACTGTTCTAGGAGACTGCTTCAAAAAGCAATCATCTATCCCTTTTATTCCAGGCCCACAATCTAATGAATAGGCAAAAAGATGGGTTATAAGAGTTATAGGTGATAATGTTTACCAAAACTTTTTATTCATTACGAGAAATCTTAAATCTTCCCTACCGTAGTGATCTCTAGATTTACTAGCAAAATTCTAAATTCTGTATAGGCTTAATTAAAATACTTCAGAATCAGGTTTTAAAATAACATATAAAATATAATTCTTTCTTACCATTGATCCAAAATGTAATTTCTAATTTTCAAATAGCGTTCTGGTGTTTTAGCTTGGCGCCCCTCAAAAAACTCAGGAATTGCTTGTTTTTCTTCTTCTTGAATGATATTTCTATCTATTTCTATTTCCTGTTCTGGTGGCTTAAGCTCTTCTTCCTCATGACTTTCCTCTACCACTTGGCAAGAAGAAGGAAAAAGCATTCCATTATCATTCAAATCTTTCTGAATTTCAGAAGGCTCTGGAGAAGGCAACTGCCTGGCATCAACTATTATTCCCCTTCCATCTTGCTTGTTGCAGTTTTTAATCAATTCATTAAATTTCTGGTCATTTAATTCGACTGATTTTTTGTCACTGTTGCTCCATTTCTCAGTCCACAGTGTAATTTCTGAGCTTGAAAGTATTTCATCTTGCTTTTCATTTTGAAGACAGTCCCTGGAAGGCTTGGAAAAGAGAGCTTCCTGGCTGTCAGAAGCAATGAATTCTTGATTGCTTTCATGCATTTTACTATTAGGAAAGTCTAACGAGGGATCACTGCTAGAATTATTTTGGGGTGTTTGAGAAGACAACTCGTCCACCTCATCTGTGATGTCTACTTCTTCATCATCAGATAACTTTTCAATTTTTACAGCATTCAAATTGGGATCAGCACGTCCCCTTAAACATGATGGTGTCCATGCCTTTGTCCCTTTATCTTCATTTTTAACTTGAAGATTATGGCCGTTCTTCTGATTGGGTGTTTCTTTCTCCAGACCGCATTTGACCTTATTAAATATCAAAATAAAATCCCCATAATATTAAGATTTAAAAATTTAATCACTGGCACACACAAAAAAAGGATAAATACAGTGTTATTAAACTGAGTACGTGTAAATGATACATTATACCTTCAATGTGCTTTTCTTTAAAGGGTTTACAAGTGCATTTTAGACAAGGTCAGGTGTATTCAGGGTGGTATGACTGGAGACTATAACCGCATTTCAAATGTAAAGGATCACCATTTAAAATTTCTATAACTATATAACTAATTCATGGGTCTGGTGATTTGTATTAATCAAATAATCATGACCTATATTTAACTACTACTTATTTTTCAATATTAAGTTGAAAACAGCAGCCTGGCTCAGATCAACCATATGGACTAAACAAATTAATTATCATACTAAGGTATTGTACAATATATTGAAATATTTTTAAAGGCTTATTTCTCAGAATATCTGATACCATAGCTGTTTCTTACAATGCTAAAATAATCCTTAATCTGACATCTTCACTGAGTACATTAAAACTACCTTTCATTTAAACAAGGGACAACAGAAACAAACCGTCTTTTGCAGGCTTATTTAATGAGCTTATAATATAGAGATGATATTTTAATGTGATACTTGAAAAAAAAGAGAGATTATATTTTAAGCCATAAAATTATCTTCCATACCTGCTATTACAGATATAAATATCTGGTAATGTAACAACAACAATAAAAGATAATGAAAGTGAATGAGCAAATATAACATGAAATAAAATCTTTATATACAAAGTTTTTAAAAAGTCTTATAAATGACTAACATACATAAAGGATATGACAGCTCTCAGAAAGAGGTTATTTATAGATCCTGTAGCGCAACGGAATTCCAGGATTAAATACTTGAGGTTAACTGGCTTATTATGTAGAGTATAAAAGGGTAGCAGGAGGGAAAAAGAGATTTGGACATATTGCCTGAAACAGCTTTTCACATCCCTGCTGTTTAAGTATCCTGTCTATAATTTTAAAAATTCAGATGAAATTTTGCACTGATTTCATAATATACTAATCTCTGTTACAACATGAAAAATGTATCCTTCTACCCCAGTTCTTTGAGTGAAACTGGCACTCCAAGATACACAGCATGTATCTTGGAAGCCTAAGAGTAAGAATAACCAAGTTAAGCTTTATTTTGTTCTGAGGTATTGACTAAACCTTGGTGAGCTGCCTTGAAAATGCTTCTGTCTCGCTGAAAAATGGAGCATACAATCGATGTATGATGAATCCATTCCATTAGTTACCACCTATGTCTAGATAACACTGAAACAAATCTTACATACGGGGTAGAACTCATCATCTACATGAAAAGATAATATCAAATTTCACTCAAGTCACTCACCAATTTTATATAATTATGTTCTTAGGCTTCAAAGAGGATATATTAAAAACTTATAAATATCAAAACGACATGGTTGCATATAGCACAAATTACTTGAAACATTAAGGAATCAGATCACAAACTTTTCTTAACACTGCAGTTTATTAAAGTTTCAGACAATTCTTCATAACAACTGTAAAAATTTCATTGCTATTTAACAGATTTTAGAATCAGGATAGCATTTACCTCCTCTAAGCTCTAATAATTCTTAAAAGTTTCTACAATGCAAATATTTCAAAAGGAAAAGTTATTTTCTAGAGGAAACATTAAGATAAGATCTCTAAGGTTTTCTCTTTGAAATACAATTTGCTCTATAGGATATTTTTGAGCAATAACTATTTTGTCCATTTAACTTTATAAAATTAAATACAGTAACATGATATCTATTTAATGGTAATACTCAAAACACTGAGATATGTTCTGTGGTTTTGTATAGTACTATGTGGGTATAAAATACTTTAAAAACTTTTAACAGTAAGACCTTAATGCCTGAATGAAAGAAATACTTCTGCTTACTTTGTTTTTTCTAAATACTATCATTATTAACTAGGATATTGATATTCTGCTTACCTTATTTTTAAAATACTGTCTTGCATAGCTCTTCACTTGTAAAACAGTGCGGCTTCCAATTAGCTTTGAAATTTTGGTCCATCTTCGGCCAAATTTAGCCTGTATTATTAAAATTGAAAAAAAAATTGCTTTTGATTTACTTATGAATAGTCCAAGCACCTACCACATTAAAAAATAAAAATTAAAAAAATACATCTTTATTTTCTGAAGCACACGATAAAGTCTTCTATATAGACTATGCTCTTAAAATCAAAGCCTACATTCTTCTTTTGGAATCTGAACTACTGAAAACTGATGGAAATGATTTAGAAACTACTTTTTAAAAAGAACACCTATCTAAATGAAGATATCACCTCTAAATGAAGATATCACCTAACTGTACGAATTCATATTGTAAGTTATGATGTTCCAAATCTAAAATAACTTTTTAAAATAAATAAGTGCCTGGAAGGGGGATAGGTTACATTTTCCATTTATATGATCGACTGAACATGTTCTGTGCTAATTTCAACACTTTTTTTTTTAACCCAGATTCCCTATTTTGCAATATCCATTAGGTGTCTTGCAGCAGATTTTACTCTGTCAGGTATCACAGTGAACTGACCTAAAAGACTAAATCACAAATGAGGAAGTCCTGCAACAAATATCTTCTTTGTTAAGATGGTATAAGCCCCAAAGTTCTAACTACCCGTTTCATTACTCATCAGAGTTTCTCTTGCATGTGTATATGTTGCACACATTAATAAACTCTGGTTTTCCCTGTTAATGTCTTTGTCGGTTTTTATTTCATTTTTGAGACAGGGTCTCACTTTGTTGCCCAGGCTGAGTGCAGTGGTGTGATCACGGCTCATGCAGCCTCAACCTCCTGGGCTTAAGCAATCCTCCCACCTCAGCCTTTCCAGTAGCTGGGACTACAGGTACGCACCACCTTGCCTGGCTAATTTTTTATTTTTTGTAGAGATGGGGTCTCACTATGTTGCCTACCCTCCAACTAATGTCTTCTGACACCTCCCACATCTTGGTGTCAAAGGCTATGTACCTCATAACACTGAAGCTGTGGAGGGAAAAAAATGAGAACGTGAGGGAGCTCCTGAGTGTTCTCAAGTACAGAAAGGAACACATAATTTGACAGCTAAAAGGGATTGTTGGGTATCAAGTCTAACTATAATTTAATACGTAAAGCCTCTTTGCAATATCCCCAACTTAAGATATTCTCTACTTCCTAACGTAGCTCAATAATTCTAAATTTTTAGAATTCTTAAAACTACAAAAAACGAAAAACTAGCCACAACTTAGGAAAGTTGGCCCTAGGGTCAGATTTACAGCTCAGGCAGTCATGCCTACAGCAGCAAATCATTTTCAAAGATCTGGCCCCAATGATAAACCTTAATTTAAGTAAATTTCTGATATTCATTAGAAAACATGACATTTGGACAATTTCTTAAAGAACTTCTGAAAATTATTAGTAAATATAAATTAATTATTTAAGATTGCTCTTAACACCTAGCTGAGATCAATTTTACTGAAGAACTACTTATCTTTATTGTGGGATGAAGACAAATAGGTAACACTGGTAGGTAGCATGGAACATTTGTGGAGACAGGACAGATCTGGATTAAGGTATGATTGGTAGAAGAGTAGGGACTTGGGTACTAGAAAAATTGGGGAAAGAACACGAACAAGAGGAGCAAAGAAGCCAGGCACGGTGGCATGTGTCTGTGGTCCTAGCTACTCAGGAGACTGAGGCAACAGGATCACCTGAACTCAGGAGTTCAAAGCCTGGGCAGCATAGCGAGACCCTGTTTCTTAAAAAAAAAAAAAAAAAAAGGTTAAAAAAAAAAGGAGCAAAGAAAAATTCACCAGTTTCAAAACAGAGCAAAGGGAGAGTCCCATGCCCAAAAAAGGGAAGGAAAAAAGCCTTTCTTCATCATTCAGTACCACCCAATTCCCTACTCCCAAGCCTGAGAGAATTCAGTCTGTAAGCAAACTTTATCAATGGGTTAAAAAAAGCTGAGAATACAACCAATAATTCCACGCTTGTTGTGTAAGCAAACATTCCAAGTTTAAAATCTCCCTTAATGTAAACAGAGGTCTCTATATCACTATATAAATAAATACATATTTACTTAAATATGGACAAGTATCTCTGGAGGAAAACACAAAGAAGACACTGCTTACCCCAGGCAAAGAGAACTGAAGGCTAAGATGAGTGTGAGAAGACTTAATACCCTATAACTTTAGGAACCTTTTGAATTTTAAACCATGCAAATGTAGTCCCCATAAGTACCACCAACATAAAAAATAACAACCTAAAAAAATGAACCTTAAACTCAATCTGTTTGCATATGTATGTATGTATGTGTTAGCACAAACTGCACCATGTTGTAAGCTCCCTGCTATTTTGCAGACCTTTGTCAAAGTGAAACATTTCACAGGTGTTCAGGCCATGAGAAATATCCTGCCTAACCACCTGACCATGAGACAAACAAAGGCCCAACTAAAGAAACGTCCCTATCCTATCTTGCTCGACAAAGGTCCAAAAAACACCCAGAATACCATGATGACATCCTGCTGGAACAAGGGCCAGAACTGCCTCATGACAGGAACATCTTATCAATATCCTGCTGCCCAGACCTCTTCTGCCCATACCTATAAATTGCCCCAGGCTATAAGCAGCAGCGGGCTCTGGCATTAGGTTGGTCCCCCACTTCTGTAGGTTTTATGCTGGACATAAAGCCTGTATTTGCTGTTGAGCTGCCCTCCTTCTGTGTGTGTCCTTCTTTAACCCTCACCTTCCCTTTAAAACCTAACATTATGTATCTGCTCTTTGATAAGAGGCAAAACACCAAAGTTGTCAGGAATCTTAAATAAATGATTAATTAAAGTTGGATCATATAAATGATAATCACACAACAGACTGAAATATCAATATTAAAAAAATCATCAGTATAGGAAAAAGTCTTGAAGAGATAAAAACCTCAAGATCATTTATATATTTATATAAGAATATCATACAGTATATAGATGTCATGGTGTTGACTAAAATACAAATACAAACATTTTATTCTCATCATCTGTAGAAACGTTAATGATACTTCGATCAGCATACATAAATTTAATATATACAAATATTCTATATATGTAATGTATAAATACACATAATTTCAAAATTACTTAGAACACTACTAGGTAACATGCACCTTAAAGGAAAAGATATAAACTAATCTCGACAGTAAAATAATTTAAAAAAAAAAAAAAATCCTAAGTATTTTTTTTTAAGTTTCTTCATATTAAGGGGTATTTTCAGAATTAGAAACCAGAATACATATCTTTTGCATTATGCAACTTGTGAACATTTAAATGGATTTCAGTGTAATAGACATTCACACACAAAAGTTTCTGGTCTTCATTTACAGTTGCTGAAATATTTAGACAGTGTATACAATGCCGAATTTGAATAAAAACTCAGCTGATCACCCCCAACAGTGTCAAATATACAAGTTTTTGTTTTGTTTCAAAAAAAAGAGACTACTAAATAATTCTGCCTTTTAATCCAGGTAGTTGGTGTCATGTATACAGATATACCTCAATTTCTTGGATTTTTTTAATACCAAAAGAATGAAAACTACAGATCTAAATCTATTTTAGTATTTTAGTACCTTAGATCTAAGTTAAAAGGAATTCTCTTGCACTACACTATAAACATCATTACTCTAACTACAGAAGAACTAAAGGTGTTAAAACTGTAATTAAAAAGAAAATTCAGGTCTCTATAAATTAATTTAACCTTATAACTTTACCAATATTTGCTTCTAGAATTATTTTACTAAAAATTTAAAATTGCTCTATTTACCAGCCCTTGTTCAAACAGCTCTTTTTCTTCTATCGTCCACTTTACTGAGTAACTGGCTGGTTTTGTAGGAGAATGTACCCTGAGGGGAAAAAAAGGAATTGCAAAAAAAATTTCTGAAATGGAACATTCCATATTTATGTAACTAAAGGTTATAGATTGCCATGGGCTAAATTCAATACTTTGAGTCTAGGAATTAAAAATAAACGAACAAAACAAGAAGGCTACAGCCTCTACCTGGGGGCAGAGATTTACCCTGTCACGTGTCTCTAGCTCAGGATGATGGGAGCCCCAAAAGACATAATCCTTGGGTCTGAGTGAGGATAACACTAAAAGACATTAAAGGAAGTCAATGTGATAACAAACAAATAGGCTCCCTTAGACTGGATACAAAGCAGCAGGTGTTAATACATTCCCAAATCCTGAAAGGCATGTAAGAGTTTAAATCGGTTCCACAAATACTCTCTTTAGTTCTTTCATGTAAATCCATGTAAATATTAAGATAGGAAAGAAGTCAAAAACTACAGCATTATATTTACTGTTTTTAAAATTCATTATCTCAAGGAATTGAAAATAAAACTGATGAAGCTCACTAATTTAATTTAAGCAAGCCATTAATCCTTTTGTTAATTTCATTTCGTTGTTTATTCAGCAAAATACAAAAGCAAAAGGCTGCTCAGTACTCAACCTCTTGGGCAATTGCAAATATGCAAACCCACCCTTTAAGGGACCATAAACTTCCAAATTCATAAATGCTAAATAACATTTTTTCAATTATAGGGAAAGGATATTTTTAAAATAGTTAATTTCTCCAGATAATTTTTGCAAGTCACAAATCCAAATGAAAATTTTGTTGAAAATAAGTGAAAATTAACTGACAGAATAAAAGAAATCAAGTCAATTCCAATATATTACATAACAGCTTCTCAAAATTTCCCCATAAATCCCTAGACAACCATATTTTTCACAATATGATAGAACTGCCTATGTAGGGCCGTAAAAGAAATTCTGGCAAATAAATAACATGATAAAATTATACTTGTGCCATTCCAACATCTTTACAAAAAAACCTGTTTTTATATCTACTTTATGTTTTTGTATAACCCAAGGTCAAGAGGGCTTTTCCACAGGCCAACTATAATTAAAAAAAAAAAAAAAAAAATTCTTCCATAATTTTTAACTAATGAAAACAGATTTAGAAATATAAAATACAAGTACATACATGATTTTTGCTGTTTTCTGCAGACTGCATCACATGAAAAAAGAAAATAAGGAAGCATGTGAGGTTTCAAAAAATACAATCCACACTTTTAGAAATATTATAAATTGATTTTACCTCTTCATGTATTTTTTATCATCTTCCTTTTGATCAAGCCAGACTTTTTCTGGTAGTGATTTTTTAGATAAATAATATCTGTGTAATTATTAAGGAAACTTTTTAAACAATATTACAGCCATGTAATTTTTACATCACTCATACAAAAGGTGTGCTACATAAATGTTATTAATAGTTTCCTTGTCTTTGCAATTAGAAGTGACTACAAGAAGAAACAGCCTCCACATTTGAATCAAGCTTGTCCAACCCTCTGCCTGCAGGCCACATGTGGCCCAGAACAGAATCTTCGAATGTGGCCCAATAGAAATTCGTAAACTTTCTTTAAATATTATGAGATTATTTTGCGATTTTTTTTTAGCTCATCAGCTATCGCTAGTGTACTTTATGTGGGGCCCAAGAAAATTCTTCTTCCAGTGTGGTCCAGGGAAGCCAAAAGATTGGACACCCTGGTTTAAATATTTTCTTCCAAAGCATATGGAGAATGTAAAAGATAAATTTGGTTGGTTGTCCAAAGCAATTTTGGAATAATTTTTCACATTTCTAAAGCCTACACAAAAGAATCCAAGGATCTTCTCTACCTTAATAAAAATAGTAAACATTTAGATCAAATCTACCAGGGAACTTCTCTCTTAAAGTTCTTAAAACTAGTCTGATGAAATACTTTAAGATTAGCCTGAGATATTCTTCACTTAACAAGTATTTATTGGCTGTATACTGTATATGTCAGGTACCATGCTAGGAATAGGTGCTGAGAACAAAGATACTCTCATTATTTGTTTCCATATCTAGAAGTGAACCACTGACTACTTGTGTTTTATCTAGACTTGCACAGTGGCCACCAATCACATGTGTGACTTCTGAGCAAATAGTGGAAACACTATTTGCATGAACTAGGATGTACTCTAAGTATAAAACACAGTGGATTTTGGCTGGGCGCTGAGGCTCACGCCTGTAATCCCAGCACTTTGGGAGGCCGACGCAGGTGGATCATGAGGTCAGGAGTTCCAGACCAGCCTGGCCAACATGGTGAAACCCCATCTCTACTAAAGATACAAAAAAATGGCTCAAGCCTGTAAACCCAGCACTTTGGGAGTCCGAGACGGGCGGATCACGAGGTCAGGAGATCGAGACCATCCTGGCTAACACG